GTACAGAATTGTCAGTGTAGCTTATTGCATAATATTCGCTTCTCATCCAGAATCTACAAGTAAAGTAGTAGTCTGCAGTATATCACGTGATGCAATGCCTTAACATCTGAAGCCTAGACACTAATCCCTTATGGTATTTTTCTTTCGTCTCCGCTGCGAAATACGTGCCGGTAGTTTAAAAAAATCCAATTAAAAATGTTCATGAGTACAATTCGCCACTCAAGGACATAATTGAATGGTTAAGAAAGACATTAAGAATTAGAGAAAAATGTGATGCATTGTGTTAGGTAATCCAGTGATTCAAGCAAGCCGCCAAAGTTTGATCACGGATTATTCAGTATATGTAAAATTTTTAGTAATATAAGAAACCTTAATATGGTAGATTGAATCAAATGCAACTAAATTAAAAGGACATATATTGTAACAACAGAAGGCAAGGGCCAGGCAACACATCGTTTATTAAGGAAATCAAAGCATATTTATATATTTTCATGTACATTATTACAGATTAGTTAAGCAAACAAACACAGTCTTCTGATTGGTTGTTTCTCACTTAAAGTTAATCTTTCATCTCTTTGTGACTGTTTCTTGAATGTCAGATCATCTATATGTTAACTGTATCCGCCTACGCAAAGTCTGCTGTGGTCGGTTTTCGAATCAGTCTTGTTCATATTTTCTCACGACAAATCTTGGGAGCGTAAACATTGACGTAAATTACTGTCTACCAATTTGGCTAGTAGACAGCTCTCACCACAATATAACTGATTGTATTTCAAAGTAGAAAATTATACATAAATGTGCAATAGTTCAAGCTTGCAACACACTCCATTTCTCACACAAAAACGTAGACAAAAGAATTCTATAATGGGCAGAGATGAACGGGAGAAAGAACAATTGCATTCCAAAATCAATGAGGACTTGATAAAAGTCTCAAATTACAAAAACAAAGTGAATGTATCTGTGCCATGGAAAACAGTTTTATAAGCCTCTTACTACCAACGCGATCAGTTCGTCGGTGGCACAGCGGTTAAGACGCTCTCTGACCATGCACATTGTCCAAGGCTCGATCCCCGACTGACGCAGATGTATTCAGTCTCTGTAATCTTTCATATGTGCGTCGGTGGCATAGCGGTTAGGACGCTCACCGACCATGCACATGGTCCGGGGTTCGATCCCCGGCCGACGCACTCCTTTACCTCTCTAAGCCAGAAATAATGCTGGTGAAGAGGAAAGGTTGGGCATGAGGCTAGCAACCCCATCCTGTAAAATAAACACTGCTACAGAAACTTCAAGCCACTAGCTTGAAGCCCTATGTTCCAGTGGGGAACGTGAAGGATAAAAAAAAATATCTTTCATATTCCTTTCTACCATTACTCATTCTGTTTCACTCTTATACTTGTCAAAACTCTATTGATTCTCTTCACTCATCTTCTTGTCTACGTTTGTGTGCTATTTGGAACGTGGCAACTCGAACTGCTGCACTTCGGTGCCAAGTTTTATGTTGAATCCAGACAGACCCGACTGACGCACACCTGATATCAGTGGTCGGCCTGCCAAATTTGGGCTACCGATATCACGTGCTGCAAATTCTATACTTGCACCAAAATACTGTGTGGAATCAAACTATAATAAAATAAAATGATTATTATTATTTCCTTTAATTCCTAGAGGAACATAGGGCTTCAGCCGTGCGTCTCCATTGAGTTCGGTTCTCTGCTAGAGTTTTCACCTGGCTCCAAGCCTGCCCACACGTTTTCATCTCCTCTTCGCATGACCTCCTCCAAGTCACCCTTGGACGACTAACTCGCCTCTTCCCATACGGGTTTCACTCGAGCAATGGCTTGTCAAGTGATGTCACTTGATGGTTTGTTTACTCAGAGTATGGCCAATTCACGTCCATTTCTTCTTTCTTATTTGTTTCACAATCGGTTCCTGCTGAATTGGTTCGCTCATTGCCAGAGATCTCTGTGGTCCATCTTTTCTGACCGGCCATCTGATCTTGAGTGGCATTGAGCGAAGACAGCTGTTAATGAAGGTGTGTAGTTTGTTTGAGATGCTCCTTATGACGCACAGTGCAAGTCTCTGATCCGTATCGTGAGTAGCACTGACTGACTTCACATTGGAGTTGAAAATCCGGATCTTATCTTCGTTTTGATGCTGAGTAGGGCTGTTGACCTCCTCCACACAGACTTGAGAGTAATGAAAGCTTGTCTTGCTTTTCCGATTCTTGCTTTGATATCCTCGTCAGTTCCGCCTGTAGTAATAAAATAAAATAATGGATAAAAATTTGTCCTTAGCATCCTGAGGGCCCCAAACAGACAGTCTACACCTACCAAATTTTGGTTCGACTACCAACCTAAACTCTTTTCTAACCTAATCCCGTCTCACTTAACATTGTTCATTGAGTAAGGCGATGACTCGGTATGCTTAACCCCCTTCGTCTTAGCCATCTCAATCGTTGTAGCTTCACAACCTGATCAATCGACTTATCGGCGACCAAGCCACGTTGAGTAAACACCGGTTCTTGTTCAATAAATACATAAAACAGAATTAATTAGTCGAAAATAGAATGAAAGATATTGCGAATACAATGAATAAAAAAGAGAGAGGATAAGTTTAGTGTAAATCCCAACAATAACAAATAATAATCATCTTAGAAATTGTTACCTACTCGATATATATTGTTGTTGTTATCTTTGCAGCTGCTCAGCGCGGCAACTGTCACTTTGTTATCGCTTTTCTTTTTCCCACTCATCTGATTTTCTCCCCTTTGTTTTTCTGCTCAACGCATTTGCTGCGTTATTTACTCTATTGAGTTTGATTTCTGTGTTGTTTTTGTGTGACTAGCGATTAGAATAAAAATAATCAAGTCAGGTTATCATCATCAGTGTGTTGAAATAGTAACGGGAGCAGCTGTGCACGTGTGATAGTGTGATTAGTATGTTACAGCTTTCTATTTTTTTTTTTAAAGAAACACTGTCTTACCTGTAAAGGAGGAGGATCAATAGATTTTAAAAGACTGATTAGTAAACAAATAAATACATTCATATGACTGTAATAATTTGAAAAATGCTGTCATTAACAGCGGTGTTTTAAATTACCTTGAATCAATATTATCGATTTTTTTTTCCTTCACGTTCCCCAGTGGAACATAGGGCTTCAAGCTAGTGGCTTGAAGTTTCTGTAGCAGTGTTTATTTTACAGGATGGGGTAGCTAGTCCCATACCCAACCTTTCCTCTTTACCAACAATAGTTCTGCCTTAGTGAGGTAAAGGAGTGTGTCGGCCGGGGATCGAACCCCGGACCATGTGCATGGTCGGCGAGCGTCCTAACCGCTATGCCACCGACGCACAATAGTATCGATAGATTACAACATTCCAAAAGCATCAGTAAGAGAGATAATACTTAACAATTAACTGAATATCTAAATAAATTAATGGGAAGTAACACAACACGCCAGACTAGCAATGAGTGGTTGGACCCTATTTCTCTGTTGCACACAGAGCTCCGGTTGATTTGAGCGAATCACAATGGCCTCTCTACTGTTTCAGTTATTCCTTTATTTAAGAGGTCTTTGGTATATTTATTCGATACTCGATAGATAGATGGCGAGTTTGTGTACGGTGATCTAATGTAGAACTGTTGATGGTTTTAACCTATACCCTTCAGCAGATGCAGAGTCTTATGAGAACACCTTGAACTGCAATCTGCGAATGTTTGGCATGCGATTCTCTCCCGCAAAATGTAAGATGATGCTCCTCCTCCTCCTTTATGGCTGTGAGACCTAGCCATTGAGAGTGGAAGACATGAGAAGACTAGCTGCCTTTGATCATAGGTGCCTGTGTTCTATCTCCCGTGTGAAGTGTTACAATAAGGTGAGCATTATTGAAGTAAGGCTTTGGTTGAGTGCTAGGTAAGGAGCGGAAATCATTATACAAGGCTGTGAAGTTACATCGACTAAGATGGTTAGGACATGCATTACGCATACCTAGCCATCGCCTTCCTCGACAACGGGCAATGTTAGCTGACGTACGGTCAGGCTGGAAAAGAGCTAGTGGCGGTCAAACTAAAACATAGCCTCATCAGCCAATGAAATCCACAACAGTTAGTTTAAGCCAACCATGTAGGAAGATGTAGACTTCTTGGTTTGGGTCCTCAAAGTGGTAAAAACCAATGGTAGCCCGAGACAATTGGTGATATGGCTCATAATGGTTCTCAATGGAGTAGATGCATCCACTCCTTGTGGCTTATAATATCCGATAAAACCATATTGTTCTTCGATATTACTATTCCCTTTGTCTCCCATCCCTGTCTACTGTCTCTAATTTGCATTTCTTCTGCTTTTTTCTCTTGCTTTATGTGCTGCATGGAGTGTGGCGACTTGGACTACTGCTCATCGGTGCAAAGTACTATGTTGAAACCACTCAGTCAGTCAATCACACCCTTATTTAGCCGGTTAGCTGCTCGCTTATATTTTCCACGCGACCGGTCGTGAAGCTGAAACTGAAAGACGAAGTACCTAAGGCTAGGCAACTCTTATTGTATCTACCAGTTTAACTGCTTCTGTGGAGTAGCTGTCGCTCTAGGAGCTTAATTTTTTTGTGTTTGGGAACACCTACCAGTGTGGTTAAATAAAGGTGTAGTTAGATCCATCTCACAGTTTTCACCCTATCAAATTTCAAACCCTTACCTTTTAGAAAATACTTCTATGGAGTTGTATTGGTTATGTCACACTCCCGCATTACTCAATAATAGACTGCCTTGAGTGTTTGGTAAATGTCAAGTCAACATGATTTTACAGTTTTCGAAAATGCCTTCGTCGGTAGAGAAAATTTTCTTTGCTGAATTGCCTTTTATTGTCTTTGATGATAGCATTTTTTTCTCAATAACAACTATATTACTGAATGTGGTTTCAATTGGAAATTGCATTTAATCTCTTTTTTGCATCAAAGTTTTCACACACAAGTAAATATGCATCTTTTTTATTCTTTAATCCCTAGGTTATCCTCCGTTCTGTTCAGCTACACCACAAGAGACATATAAGAAAATTATGAATTGGAAAGAAGCCTTATTCTTTCCGCATGAAATGCCTATCAGTGGAAATGCTAAAAATCTTATACAGTCATTGTGCTGTGGAGCAGAGACACGTCTATCTAGCATTGAAGATATACGTAAACATCCATTTTTGAATGGAGTTGACTGGGAGCATATACGTGAAAGACCAGCTGCAATACCTGTGAATATACGTTCAATTGATGATACAAGCAATTTTGATGAATTTCCTAATGCTGATTTAAGTTGGCGTAAGTCATTTGACTTTTATATGTATACGATTAGACATTTTATGGCTTTTCTTTCTTCCTTAATAAACTCTGTTGTTATTGTGTTGTGTGCTACTACTGATAAGATTTATCAGTAGTCCTTATATAAAGAGACCTTCATTGGCTTACAAGGTGAGCAATATTGAGGTTAGGCGTCGAGTGCTAGGTAGGTGGGAGGGGAAATCAATCGACGAGGCTGTGAAATTACATCGACTGAGATGGTTAGGACATGTGTTACCTATGCCTAGTCATCGCCTTCCTCGACGGGCAATGTTAGCTGATATAGGGCCAGGCTGGAAAAGAGTTAGTGGTGGTGGTCAAACCAAAACATGGCACCAGTCAATGAAATCCACAACAGTTAGTCTAAGCCACGTAGGAAGATGTAGACTTCCTGACTGGTTGGGGTCCTCGGGACGGTAAAAACTAATGGTTGGAAACAATTGGTGACATGGCTCAAAATCGTTCTCAATGGCTGGTGCAGATGCATCCACTCCTTGTGACTTATGATTTCCAATGAAACTGTTTTGTTATTCGTTATTACTATTCCTTTGTCTCACACCTCTGTTTACTGTCTCTGTTATGCATTTCTCCTACTTTCTTCTCTTGCATTGTGTGCTACAAGGAGGGAGTGTGGCGACTTGAACTGCCGCACATATGTGCAAAGTTCTATGTCGAAAACCGACCGACCGGCTTACAAAATATCAAACAGCGGAGAGATAGATTTGACGTCAAAGAGAGCAAATGATTCAGCGGTGCGGCAAAACATGAGAGACACGAAAAGAAGTCAAAGAAACACAATACTAAGGGCGCAGAAGTAACACAGCACGGAAGTCTTAGATATGGTGGTTTGAAGATAAGGTGTGTACATAATTTGGCTATATAGGAATACCAAATTCCAAACAGACATTCATGTGTAGTCTCCTCGATTACTGATTATGGTATCGCCTAAACATTCTACTCACTGGGCATGCCTAATCATAATGCTGTTTAGAAATGACATAAAATTACTAAAAGAGACTGTTGCGAATTGAACCGGACAGAAATCTGTTGATTTGGTTTATCTAAGCTGCGTCTGTGATTCATTATTAGTGGGAGTACTGGCCAACCACGCGAGAGTGGTCTTATTTCAATTTCTGGTCAACTTGATTGATTAGCAGGTAATAAGCCTGGTGAGGGAGGCTGGGTGTGAGGCTAGCAACCTCAACCCTTAAAAACAGCAACCAACGCTATCGGAAACTTCAAAGATCAAACTTTGAAGCCTTATATTCCACTTGAAATGCAAAGGAATGGGGGAAAAGGTTGTGGAGGGGATTGTAAGCCATTCAGTTTACTTTTTTTGCCCAGATAAAATCTTATCTGAGTTCACATTTTAATCTTCCTATAGGTGCCAATACTCATCACATTCAACTTCTTCAACTTCTCCCATTATTGGGACTATTCCTTTTATCACTATATCTATATTTACCCCTTTAATGTTCTCTTATCTTGTCCTATTTATAATTCCATCTTGTTTTTGGTGTTTTTCTCCTATCAAACTGTCTTCTTTAGACATCCTTTGACTAATTTCTGATAGAGTTTCTTTCCTTCTTTCTTGTTACATTCCTTAAAGAGGCCATACATAAAATATCCTTTGCGTCTGTTTGTTTGTCTATGTGTGTGTGTGTGTGCGTGTGCCTATGTGTCCCCTCTTCTTTTATCATGTTCCCTGACCTCAATTAACTTTTTTCTTCTTTGTTTTTTTCCCTTTCTCACTGAATATTCCTTTTTTTCTATTTCAATAAGGTGGCAGTTTATTTCTTAAAGAAAAAACATCAAGTTCACCTTTTTATAGCGAAAAAATATCAGACGTGTATAGTTAGTTTTAACTTCTCAGTGAAATGTAGAATTTTCATCATGAGCTGACATTAGTTAGAGAACCATTGGAAAACCTGCAGGGAGTACTGGACAGCTGTTTCGTCCTAGTTTGGGACTCTTCATCAGTACGCACCCACCGGGATTCAAACCCAGGACCTTCTGGTTACAAGGCGAGCTCGTATACCATTAAGCCACTGGGACCCGATCCAATGGCCAGCCCATGAATTCTAACTTCTGCCAATTCACGACATAGCGCGACCCCTAGCCAATGTCTTCGGCGAGTATTTGTCCTCACACCCGACCTGCTGCACCCTGATGAAGAGTCCCAAATTAGGACGAAACAGCTGTCCAGTACTCCCAGGTTTTCCAATGGTTCTCTAACTAATGTCAGCTCATGATGAAAATCCTGTAACCAATCAAATCCCTACAAACCAACACTTGAAATGTAGAATTCTTTGGAAGATGGAGCCCACTTGTTCAAAATTGACTAATGCTAAACGATGGTATATTTATCGAAGGCGTTTTGATACATTGGCTAACTTCATACCAGACTAAAACTGCTTTGTTCCATGTAAACATATGTAAGGTGTGCATGATATATTCGCGGAATGTGTCAATCTTTCTTTATGAGAATAACAAGTGAAGGATTGAATTTAATGAGTCATGTGAGGAGCTCAAATGAACGGTGTTTGTGTTCACCTTATTTACAAAGCTTTGGTAAAGTCAACCTACCTTTCCAGTAGAAACATTCACTCTTTTCGTTGTTTTGAAACTATTCCGTGGTTTATGTTTAAGCGTTAATAACACGAGACAGACTTCGGTTAGCTGATTATGTCGAAAGAGTATTTACACAATGAAATAGAGATTTTTGTAAAAGTTTTTCATTATAATAACTACCTAGTAGTGGTTACGCTTTGCTCAAAGGATCGGTGTACAATGTGATAGGATGCCACCGACAACGCAAGTAGTCCTGAGTTCGATTTCCGACTGACTCACTTCTAAACCTTACCCAGTTTGGTAATCGATAGTAATAAGCCGAGAAAAGAGAGAAGGTTTGGTTTGAAACTAGCTCCCCCCACCTGGTAAAAACAACACCATGGCTGTTGAAAGTTCAGGAACTCAAGCCTAAAGCCCTATGTTCCACTCGGAACTCAAGTGGGGAAAAAACGCTATGCTCATTACAGTTACGTAATAACTACCCTTCACATCCAATGTGCTGAAATCGATACTTACGGCTTTATTGACTAACTGACTGAGTTTCAACAGAAAACTCTGCACAGAAGTGCACGAGTTCAAGTTGCCACACTCCATATAACACACTAAGGTAGACCAAAGAGACTCAAAAGATCCATAATAATGAGCAGGCGTTTGCGGGAAAAAGAATACTAACACGGAAAGACGTGATGGTTTAGTGGATATGGGAGATCCCAAAGAGTGTGAATGCACCACTGCTCCTCACACACACACACGTGGCTCAAAGCAAATGTCAAAGACTTTATGGACAGATGCCCCGGCCGATAGCTGCTACCTTGACGTGGTGGTCGGGCTTGCATATCACAATGACCCAACGAGCTACACTGGCTGGAACGTATGTTCCTGTAGGTCCTACCATGCTAGAAAGGTTGTTTGGATAGCGGTTAGACAAAAAGCAGCTACTTAATCCAACACTATGATTCAAACAAATTCACAAAATATCATGCCGGATCGGTCGGGGCACGGATTAACAACTACCGCGCTTTCTGCTGCCGTGTCACAGGGCAGAAGTGATAAATATGCTACTGAGACACACCAAATAAAAAAGAACAAACAAAAACAGGCCGCGTGTGACCGGCCTCAAGCAGTTGTCCCCTGGGCTCTGCGGTCACGCAACACTAACCTTTTCTCTATTTCAGGTATCCGAAGACCCAACTAACTTCCACGGTGTGGGCAGCCGGGAAGTAACAACCGCCCACACACTTCCAAAAGCACTTCCGACCGATGGACAGATGCCTGGTTTTCTTATATTCCTTTGCGTCCCGAGTGGTACATAGAGCTTAGAACTTTGAGCCTTAATAAAGTGAGCTTTAGCAGTGCATCGGTAAGGGGTCGAACCCCTGGGCTGTGTGTGTGTGTGTGTGGTTGACGGGTATTCTACCGCTGAACTACCGACATAATGCCAGGTTTGCGTATGGGTTTATTGCAAAAGAATATTACTCAACATAGATATCCATATATTAAGATGATAGGCATTTTTAATTGCATTCAATTGAATGTACTACAACACTGGGTGATATGCATATCCAAATCTTGGTATTAGATGGTTGGCGGCAATCGGCAGGAAGCCTTGGACCTAGGTTTCGTGCTAGTTGGCACTCACCAGTCAGCAAGGCGTATCTGCAACCTTGAAGGAACTCATGTCCCTTCTGAGATTCGAACCCACGTCACCCAGTGCTGTAGTCAGAGACGTTACCACTGAGCTATTCAGGCTCGCGACTGACCTCCTGTAGGACTGTATGGGATATTTTTGATTGCACACTAGTCAGTAACTAGTGTAATGTGTCTAGTCCTGGGTGACGCAGGTTCGAATCTCAGAAGGGACATCAGTTCTTTCAAGGTTACAGATACGCCTTGCGATGAGTGCCAACTAGCACGAAACCTAGGTCAAGGCTTCCTGCCGATTGCCTACAACCATCTAATACCAACAATTCACAGTGCACCGTAATGGTGAGCCACCTAGCATGGTGGCCACATTGCAAACATGACTGATAGAATTCAGTCTGCACCGAAGATAGGACTAGACACATTACACTAGTTACTGACTAGTGTGCATCAAAAAACATATCCAAATCTTTAGACGGGTCCATGCAGTTCCTAGATGGTTTTAGATGTACCTTACTGGTTGGTAGAGGTGCCAACAAGCACTAAACTTTGGTTCAAGGCTTCCTGTCGATTACCTCCTATAATTTAATAATACTGTCTGAAGTTTCTGTCTGTTGGTAGATAAAAATCAGTTATTGTTAGTGTTATTATTATTATTATCATCATGGTAACAGTCTTTCGATCTGTTGTTTTTTCCTTCACGTTCCCCAGTGGAACATAGGGCTTCAAGCTAGTGGCTTGAAGTTTCTGTAGCAGTGTTTATTTTACAGGATGGGGTTGGTAGCCTCATGCCCAACCTTTCCTCTTCACCAGCATTATTTCTGGCTTAGCGAGCTAAAGGAGTGCGTCTGTGGCCGGGGATCGGACCCCGGACCATGTGCATGGTCGGCGAGCGTCCTAACCGCTATGCCACCGACGCACTTGGCGTCTCGGAAGGGACACGAACCCTCAGTCTTCGATCTGTATTAAGATATAATTTCCAGTTCACACGTACACTATCTAATTAATTTGTAGACATGTGTAAACATGTACACTTAGTTAACGTGTTTATCTATGATTAACTCTTATCTACACCATCTCATTAAAACGCTCATTTGCCTCTTTATGCTCTTCTTTTTTTTCTCTCTCTGAAACTAGCCAATGTTACCGATCCAATGAAAAGTTATCAGAAAAATCTGGCCTTTATTAATTATACATATAAAGCATTTGATGGCTGGACAAACAATGATCGGATATTAGATCGTCAATTATATCAGCAACAACAGTTCCAACGTCATCAGGCTGCTCTCTCGTCAAGAAGTATGCTGTCTGATACAACCAAATCAAAGAAACATCCTCCAACTGGTGGTGGTGGATCTAGTTCCTAATTATATATAACAACTGAATTTGCCTGTTGCCAAAGTGTTTAATCTACTCACCCTTTACCCTTTGTACTTACTTAACCCCGGCCGCCCTGTCCTCCTCCTCCTACATCTATTTTTGTGAAGAAATTTTGTTCTGCATAATGTAAGTTGCTGTTTGTGTTCGCCCACTCCCTCTGCCGAAAATTCGCAATACCTTTTGTCTTTCCTGTGAACTAACTACTTACTATCTGCCACTTTTTCGGTTGTAGTTGTTTATTGATTGTTTCTCGATTCTGGTTGCTCATCCATTTATTTATTTATTTATTATTACAGTTTCCTTTCGATTTATCATTCTCCTTCATTTATGAATTCAATGAGAGTCTGTAAGGCAAGTTATATTCGGTTGTTGTCAGTCAACGTTAAAGCCACTGTGATGGCTTTCGTTCGACTTTTTTTCTCTCTCGCGTTGGTTTGTCCTTTTTTCTCTCTCCCTTTCTGTCTTTTCTCTGTATCTCCTTAGATGATGTTTGTCTCTGGTTTCAAAGGCCGTGTGTATCACATTTTGGTCGCATTACATTCCTACTGTATTTTTTTGTGTGTGTATCTGAATTGCATTCCTCTGAGAACATAGTACGTTACGTTCCATGTGCTTAATCAATATAAGAAAAAAAAAGCAATATTACACTACACCACCCTTCTTCTCCTCTTTAGACTTTTGTGCCTTACCCCAGTATGTCTATAGGTTTTTTCTCCCTTCTTTTTCTCTGCATTTTTTCTCCTTTCTCTAAGCCTTATTAACTTGTCATATTTTAAGTGTATTGCTTTTGCTGTTTGATGTTGCTGAATTGTCTCCTCGCTAAATTTAAGCTAAGTGATTAAATGTGTGAATGTGAGCTGAGTGTGTTTCGTCATACTTGTGATTTGTTGTATGCCATCCTCAAAATGAACGATGACGATGGCAGTGGTGATTCGTCTTAATTGGTCTTCTACTTTCCTTCTTCTTATAGTCTGCCTCTTTGTTGTCCTCATTGTCTCCGCCTTGTTCAGGCGTGTTCGTCTCTCTCTCTTTCTGTGTTTGTGAGTGTATGTATGCCTGTGGTGCGTTCCGTCTTCTCTTAGTCTAGTCCATTCTGTTCCTCCTCTGTTCTGTATCTGAGATACTCTCTCTTTCACACACACACCCACAAATTCAATCATATTCATATCAGTCAAAGGTGGTTAATCATCGTATTTGCGATGCTGTTTCCATTATGACAGTATTACGCATCTCTCTTTGTGTGTGTATTGTGTTTATGCGTGTGAGTGTGGCTCGCGCGTGTATATCATCTTCCCCAATCAGACAGGATATGTATGTGAAAACAAAACTGATTCCTCTTTTGTGTCTAGTTGGAAAGAGATCCTTTTACAAATAAATAAAAAAAAGAACTTTGAACTGTACTGTACTGTATTCATTATTCTTCACCGTATGTATTCAATGGCCCTGATGAATTCACTCACATATCATCAAAAAAGCAGTGTATCTTTTAGATATTTCGCGATATTCACGATAATCCCTCTCTATCGTTTTTTTTTGTGAATAGACTTGCTGCGTGCTTTTGTGAATATATATTGCATATTTCACAGTGATGTGGATCTACACACTGAATGAAGGAGTGAATATAAATAGTGTGTATGCGCAGATGTGTATTTTAGTATAACTTATTTATTTATTTATTTATTGATATATGAGGACAATAAAAGTTTTCAGTGCTGGTAACTCCTTGAAATTAGTGTATGCTGTGCACTTTCTTTCTACTATTTCATTTCACTACAGAGATTTTGAATTCCTTTCTCATTCTATTATCATGTGAGAACATATTTTTGTCTACTATTTCTAGTATTACTCTCTCCCCTCTCCCTCCGTCCAGTAGTATTACTACAGACTGTTGACACTAAATTGAACTGATATAATAAAATTGCCTCTACGATTTCATTTTCATACGGGTGTTATGTTCGATGAATGTAAAATATAGAGTTAGCTATGATGCACAAAAACACACCCCCATTATATTATAAAGGAACTTTGGTGTCAACTCCACCAACACAATCACACTTATTATAGACAAGTGCTCAGATTGAAATACGTCTATAGTTGTATATGTTTCATTTTGGTGTGTTGACTGGGTGGGTGTTGAGATGACGAAGAAGGAGGAGATTAGAGGGGGGGGGGCGGGCTCCATTCTGTATACAACAACAATGCACTTTTCTTATAGTCAGTCCATTATGATATGCACAGACAACACATCCATACACAACGCACACACAAACAAAGTTATTGCACCTACATGCTTACACAGAATACTTGGATGACTGTTCACCTCTTTTTTATTTCTCTTCCTCTATTGCTATTATGATGAGATGTATTCAGAATATTGCTATATTGTTGAAATATTATTCGTAAATGGGAAAAGTTCTGTTCATCACTTGTTGTTTTGTTTTGTTTATGTTGTTGTTGGTGGTGGTGTTCGAGATTGAATTAGTTTGAAAAAAAAGAGAAATTTTATGCGTAATCTATAAGACAGAGTTAAATAGGCGTTCTCTTTTTTTTCCTTGTTGTGTTCCTTTTCTTGTTCTTCCTCTTCTACTTCTGTTTCGTCTTGTTCTTCTTCAGTTGGACTGGGATCTGTTATTCTGTTATTGTTATATTCACATTTTAAGATAAGCATTACTACTACTACTATTGTTAATGATGTTAATACTACTACTACTACTATTGTAATTAGTGTTCTGTGCACAGATGAATAAAGAATATTATCTAATGTGGAAGGATTTTGATGGTTTTATATTTTTGACTGGCTGTGGTGTGAATTGTCAGAAGTTAGAATTTTGTAAGCCAAGGGGCTCGCCTTGTAAAGAAGTCAAGGTTCTAGGTTCGATCCCCAAATGGGTCGGTGGGTGGATATTGCTGAAGAGTCTCAAACTAATACGAAACCATGGAGTCCAATAGCTCTCTAAGTGATATCAATTCGTGGTGTAACTTGAAACGTGGTTTTTTGTTCATTGATATTGATATTGATCGACCATTAGAAAACCATCTTTTTGCCTTTCTTGAGAATGTTTTGAGTGGACATATTGACATAAGCGTAACTATTTCAGATGGATTGACATTCGGCTAACTGACGTGAGTGTGAATCGATTTCCCAGGTTTTTGATGGAAATACCAGTTCCTGGTTGGTGTCACAAAAATGAGTAGAGCAAGTTATGTAGACGTAAGGTTGTGGTGAGAGCTGGCTGCTAGCCAAAGTTGGTAGACAGAAATTGACGTCAATGTTTATGTCCCCAATATTGGTGGTGAGAAAATGAGAACAAAGGCTTTGCGTAGGCGGATACAGTTAGCATATGGATGATCTGACACAGTGATAAAGAGATGCAAGGTTAACTTTCTGTGAGAAACAACCAATCAGAAGACTGTTTTTTCTACTAACAATAATGTACATTAAAATGTATAAATATGTGTTGATTTTCTTTAATAAACGATCTGTTGCCTGGCCCTTGTCTTCTGTTGTGACAAGGTGACCACCAAAAGTTTTCTCAACAAGCGCTAAATAATGGGACTAATAAAATCTAGAGGGATTTGAGATGCATGGAGATTATTTAATATCCGTTGGCTAATCAATCTTTATAATGAAATGGCACCTAACAAAGCAATGATAAGTGATCTATGAGAGGAATGGGACTTTAGTTACTTTACGAGATAAATTGGCAGAGTGGTGTTTAGGGAAGCCCATTTTCAAAAAAAAATGTTTTATAATTCATGTTATAATACTAATATTACTAATATTAATAATTGCTTTATCCCAAAGTAGTACTTATGATACACCATGGAAATCTCAGCATTTGGTACACCACTGCGTCTAATTTACTCAAAATAACATTACATGGTATAAGTAAACAAAATCGATGACAGTAAGGCTTTGTTGTTTACGGTGCAAAAAGTGTAAAATAATATAAATTAATTCTAAAATAATAGAAATAGTGTAACCATAAATTAAAAATTGGAGAAGATTAAAGAGGCACTCATTTTGCTAATTACATAGTAAGTTATAAGTTTTACGCTTAACACTTTCTCCATCACGTAAGATGCGGGCGAAACATGGTATCGTTTATATTAGATGGTTAGAGGTAGTCGGCAGGAAGCCTTCCAACTAGGTTTCGTACTGGCTGGCACTCACCAGCTAGCAAGGCGTATCTGAAACCTTGAAGAAACTCGTGTTTGTTCTGAGATTCGAACCCGCGTCAGAGACATTACGACTGAGCTATTCAGGCTCGTGATTGACCTCCTGTAGGACTGTATTGGATACTTTTAATTGGACACTAGTTAGTAACTAGTGTAATGTGTCTAGGCCTTTGTTTGGTGCAGACTGAATTTTATCAGTCAAGTTTGCAATGTGCCTCCAACCATCTACCATCAACATTTCAAAGTGCACGCGTTGATGGCGAGCCACCTAGAATGGTGGCCACACTGCAAACATGACTGATAGAATTCAGTCTGCACCAAACAAAGGCCTAGATATATTACATTAGTTGCTAACTTGTGTCCCATCAGAAGAGTATCATTTAGTTTTTGAACTTAGTTAAACTAGCGAGCATATAATCTTTTATAATGACTTTTAGTTCTACCTGATGACATGCAAAAGGAGAGGTGTAAATAAAGATAGTGTTGGGAATCAGACAACGTGGATTTAGTCCATTTCTCACATGAGTTCAGATGTCTATCGACTACAATAGTAACAAGCTGACTTAGTGGCGCAAAACTTATCTTACTGATAGCCTTTGTTACCCTTCGCAACATGACGCAGTCCTTTCCTAGTAGCTGAGGAAAGACTAAGCGGGGAGGCATTGTCCGAAATTTGAATGGAAAATAAATGATGCTGAAATGAAGCAAAGTATTTAGAGCAAGAAGGATGTGGTTCAACCTATTGATGTACTTGTTCTCTCCTGAAAATTTAAATAAGAAACAACCGGTTGAAACTCATTAGTATTAATAAATCTAATTGACTGTCATCCAAGTGTTGGTTTGCAGGGATTTGATTAGTTTCAGGATTTCATCATGAGTTGACATCGGTTAGAGAACCACTGGAAAGCCTGGGAGACTTTAGCAATATACATCCACAGGGGTTCGAAATCAGGACGTATTGATTACGAATAGAACTCGTAGACCATTAAGCCACTGGGACCCGACCCAAAGGCCCATGAGTTCCCACTTCTGCCAATTCATGATATAGCGCGACCACTAGTCAATGTCATCGGAGAGTATTTTTCCTCACACGCAACTTGCTGTGCCTCACTGGTCTCCATGTAACTGGGAGATCCCACGTTCGAGCCCCAGGGGATAAATGGTGCTGAAGAGTTCCAAACTAGAACGAAACGGCTACCCAGTACTTCCAGGTATTCCAGTGGTTCTCTAACCGATATCAGCTCATGATGGAATCCTCAGACTAACTGATTGAGTTGCTTTCTCCTGTTAAGTAGACAGCTCATTTAAAAATGTCAAAACTGATTTCCAGATTTCGGGTTTTGATTCATTTCAAGAATCAACATCAGTTAGGGAACCATTGAAAACCAAGGGACACTGGGATTCTCCAGCAGTTTACACCATAGACTCTACCACTTCCATGTTACGAGGCAAGTCCGTTGACCATGCAGACACTGGGTTGGAGTTGAATGACCTGCGAATTCTCACTTCTGTTAATCCGCAATATAGCGCCACCATCAAGCAATACTATCAATGAGCATACGCTTTACACTTGGTATGTTGGACCTAACTCACCATGACTTCTGATTACAACATCAGGACATCTATGTCATAGCTACAAGTGAGTTGGATTTAGGGCTTTTAGAGGCTATGAATAATTCCAGTGTGGATTTTATCATGAAATGATATCAAGTGACAAATCAACGGGTACAGAAAACTGCTCTCATAAATGCAAAATTTCTTGCAAGTCATTTTATGGTCAATATTTACGGAATATAATAGTTATTTTCAGGTGATATTATTTAAACTGCCATCTTGTTTTCTTTTCATTTTGCAGTCTAGCATAGCTTATTCACATTCTTTTTTAATCTTTCATCTCAAAAGTAAACTAGATTTCATTAATTATGGATAAATTATGAATGTTTTCCTTAAATGTTCACGATAAAAGTGTCATCCGTATATCTCTATTATACGTTAGGCGTAAGAGTGAACGTTCTAAGAACCTTACGTTATTCAACTACTGAGGATACTGTTGGTAGTACTCTCATCTCAATCGGCTTGTTTGTATATTTTATCTGGAAATTTGAAGAGTGTAACCATCGGACACATTTAAAAATCCGACATGGTTTCTTCAATCGATACCCCAGTCTTATTTATGCGTGTTGACAGTTAGTGTTCAGTTCATTTCCGACTGTTCCTAGAGTTGAACTGATCAAAATAATAGTATACAAACTTATTGCATCGAAAATAAGCATTTTTTTCCTTATTCTCTATTCAGAAATTCTCTAGCCTCTATCTCGTTTCATATGAATTAGATATTTAGGAGTTTAAGCCATTTCTAATAGAACATAACACTGATGTAAAATATTTAGACAACTCATATGTTGAGATGCACATAAAGTCAAATATCGGTCCAGGTTTATGAATATTAAAAGTAACAAATATTCCGTCAGGATTACTAGTCTAAGGCAATCAGTTAAACCATTTCATCCCAACCCAGGATGACTATCTTCTGTACAGTAGGTGATCTGTAAACAAAAAACAATAAAATTTTGTCCTCTGGAGATTATTATCATTCTCACTATTATGCCCTGGGATTCCTAGAGGGGCATAGGGTTTCAGCAGCACATCACCACTTCACTCCGTTCTCTGCGGACTTTTGTAGCTGGCCCCACAATTACCCACTAGCTTTCATGTCACCTTCTAGAAAAGCATCTATCAATTTATAAACAGTATTCTGTATAAAACTCAAACATATTTTTTCCTAGAAAGAATTGAAGACCTCGAGATTCAAGACAACAAAGAGAACTATATTTTTCGATTTAATGGCCCTCGGTCCATCAGTAGTCAGAGAAATGCCTTCATGAAGTGTTCGAAGTTTGAAGGCATTCCTATCAACCTAATTAGAAATGAATTGCCAACAGAACAGAAAACTTCATATGGTTCTTCCTGTC